GACCACAACAACAGCAACACCAACCGCCAAAAAAAGGTGGTCCCATCTCACCACATCTTGCTTTCGTACTTGTATGATTTGTACGCGTCGGTGGAGATACCCAGGCCCACACCATCAGTGCCTTTGGCCAGCGTAGCGCGATACCTATCAGCGTTGCGATAGTCGATGCCCTCACCCATTCGCATATTTTGCTCGTGCCGCTCCTCCACGCCCTGGCGAAGCGGCACCTGCGTGCCGAGTCTTTCGCGGAACTGCGAAAGGAGCGTGCTCTTGTACTCCACTCCTGCCCTCCGGTCGGCCTCATTAAGGGAGGCAGTAAACGCCTTCATTGCGGTGCGGTTCTCACGTGGAATGGTGTCCTTCGACCACAACTGTATGTGCTGCTCAATCTCCTCCTCCGTCGCCGGCGGCCGCCCAACACTTGACTTCGGTGACATCGTCATTGTGTTGCCGCTGAGCGTTGAGTTCGCTGACCAATCCGAGCCCATTGCTTTTGGCACCGAATACTGCTGCTGCTGATCCGAGTCATCCCTCGCCTCCTTCTCCTGCGCTTCAAGGCCACGGAGGAAGAGTTCACGCTCGACGAGGCGCAGCGACTCTGCAGCGGCCGAACAACTACTGTCCAACTCCAGTGCCCGCTGGTAGGCTGCCTTGGCCTCGTCGTACTTCTTCCGCGCAAACTGCGCGTCACCAACGCGGAGGTGCGCCTTGTACCACCCCGCGTCAAGCTCCACCGCGCGCTCTGCGTCCTTTAGCGCGAGGGACGGCCCAGCAAACATGGGGGACTTGATGTACGCGGCGCTCCTGTTGCTGCGCACCACCGCAGTGTCCTCGCCCTTCTCGAGCGCTTTGGTATAGCAGCGGATGGCACTGAGGTAGGCACCGTGCGAGAAGCACTCATTTCCGATCGACTTCCACGCCTCTGCGGTGGCGCTACCGTCCATGCTGTCCAGACGGACGCGGATTTCCTCTGGCAGAGGCGGCTCCTTCGACTTTGACATGGCAAAAGTAGGACTACACTCACTCGCTTTATTATTCGTTTTTCCTGCTTATACAT